TTGATGTATTAATCCTCTGAAACTGGGAGCAAGCCCCAAATAAATGCTTTCTTTTATAGTAGTTGCTTGGGTTATGATTTCTCTTCATAGCAACAGGACACTGACTAATACAGTGGGTAATTACTAAATTCTGTTTTTTATTCAACAATCACAAGAATTTTTTTACTTTTAATAAATAAATATTAGATTATTTTCAATTTACAGTGTTTATTCAAGTTACATATTGAAGAAAATTTTTTATACTATTATTTTTTAAAAAAACATAATTTTGGTTAAAGGTTTGCTCCTTTACCTATATGTTCATAAAAGGGATTGAACTACAATTTTGTCTTTTTTTTTTTTTTTTTTTTACTGTCTTTGTATGAAGAGCAATCTCAGAAAGTCATTAGGAGAATTTCTTATCTTTTTGTACTTTTATAATAGTTTTCATAAAAAGAAAGGGATACCCTGAGTTCCTTATGATTAAACATTTTATGCTTGATTTATCTTTACTGGTAGAGGTGAGTACCAATATCTTACTACAATGGTAAGATTTTAACTTCTGTTTGTGGTGTCATGATTCTCTTAACCTCTGTTTTATGTTTTAGAGCAGTCCTATCAGATCTATACATTTCCTAGTGAAGTTCCCTTTAATGATTAATGTAATGTAGCTTTTCCCTTATATGCTCTTTTGTCAATAATATCGGACACAAACTCTGATTAATGTGTTTGCTGTATATGTTCCACAGGTCAAAAACACCTTTCATTTTATTACTATTTAGTTGTGACAGCCTATAGCTTATTTTTTTTTTTTTTTTTACTATATTTAATGTGATAGTGGCTGACTTTTATTTTTTATTTATTTGACTTCTCTTCAGCTTTTACTGTCATAGTTGGTGTTGATTTCTTCTTGACTGTACCCTGATAGTTCCTACCTTCCAGAACTGAGGCTAGAACACTGAAATGGCTGGGATTGGGGTTCGGGGCTGTATATCAGGCTCACTTATCACCTATATAGCACTTGGTGACCTGAGCACACACCGTAGGCCACACTAAAGCTTTCTGCTTATGGAAAGAGGAATCAATCGAGAGATGATTTTAGTGCGATTTCTTCGGTAGAGATGAAAGAAGGAAAGCAAAGACCAATCTGTTTGGTGGACCAGTGAGTTTTTATTGGGGTTCCTCACAGGACCATGGGTGAGGGCCTACTTATAGGAGCGGGAATGACGCTGAAGCAGCTGCATCATGGAAAATCCACAGCCGTGGAGAAGATCCTCTGACCTACAGTTAGCTGCCTGATGCTGGAAAGAGAACTGTAGCTTCTGTGAGCTGCCATCTCTGTCGGCGTTCCAGTCTCAGGAATCCCCTCCCTTAGAGAGACTGTTTCAATCAGAAGGAAACCCACACTGCTGGAGCTCCTCCAGGCCAGGAACAGCAGCACTGCAGAAGGGCAAGGGGAAGTGAAGACTTCCTTCATCCTCAGTATGAGCAAAGCCCAAAGCAAACCACAAGCTATCACATTCAACAAGCTAATACATCAGTCCATAGGATATATGCCTGAGTTTCTGCAATAAGCTTTTGGGAAATGAACCAGCCAGAGTTGCATAAAATAAGAAGGGATTTTAAGAACATAAAATAAGAAAGTACTGAAGAAGGAACTTTACAATATATCGGCCCATCGTATAAAGCACAGAATATTTCTGAGAGGAGTTGCAAAACAAAAATGAGTCCACATATTATAGCTGTACGTCAAAACACCTCCAAGTTTCTGGGATGTGCACAGTTTCTACATTTATTTCCTAAATGAAACCAGCTCCATTTTATTCAGTGTTTGAAGACATTTGGGGATGCTGACAATGGCTACTTTAAAAGTCCATTCCACCATCACATCAAACTGTGCTAAGCAATACAATTTACCTCTTCATTGTTCTGTCAGTGGATATTTTTCCACAGTTCAGTTTTTGTTATTTATTTTACTGTTGCAGTGATGTTGGTGTGAATTCTCTTGTGCATGTAACCTGAGGGAAAAGCATAATGGTTCCTCTAGAATGTGTGTAGATATGGATTTGTTGGCTTATACACTGCACATAATTTTAGCAAGCAATTCTGTGTCTCCTGCCCAGCTCTCCTTGTAAATACTGAAAAATCTCATTCTTTTCCATTTCTGATCATTTGATTGGAATCAAATATGATGTCACCATGGTTTTATTTTATATGCCATATATTTATGGACATTTTTTTCTATGAAGAGTTTTAAAACTGTTTAGCTCATTTTTCTACTGGATTCTCTGAGTTTTTCTTGATTCTTTTAAAAGTAATCTATCTAGATTCAGGATAAATTTTCCATTGGTTGTGTGTTTTAAATACTTTTCCAGACTTGTGGCCTACTTTAAACAAAACTCCATTAGATCTTTTCAAAAGCGGACTTAGTAAATATATATAGTTTAGCAATAATTGCCTTTATATTTTAGCATATCTGCATACTGTTTATGCTTCCTTATATATCCTTCTGTAATATTTTCAATTTCTAATATTTAAAATTTGACCCTTTCTGAAGTTTTAACCTTATTTGGATTTTTTTTCTCTATAACATGAGTTAGGAATGAAGACTTCTAGAGAATCTGAGATATATCCTTGTCTGCGAGCTTCTAAGATAGGCTTCCATCATTTCCTAGGTAATGGCAGATAACACAAGGTTCTTGGATCCAATACCGGTTCTTTGCTGCTCACAGCAATGCATCAGCCAGAAGCTAGTGCCAACGCCCAGAACAGCTGCTTTGCCCTGGTTCCCACAGAGTGATGGGAGGCAGGCTGGAAAACTGTTACATTGCAGAGGAACGTTGAGCCTAGGAACTCTGCGTCCTTCATAAGGGATGGGAAGCAAGCCTAACTCGTGTCCAAGGCACTCACCAGCTTTTAGTATACTGGAGCGTGCTTGGATTGCCTATTTGGTCTAAGAGGAAGATTTATCTTTCAAGCATGCTGAATTTATCTTTCAAGCATGTCTGCTATACAACCTTCCTTGAGACTGGAAGAGAAGCAGCCAAGGTTTCTGTTTGCAAAACACACTCAAGTGCAAAAAAGAGTCCCATGCAGGACTGTTTTCTTCCAATAGAAGTTGGCTTTTATTCTTACGTGGGTGACCAGGGTCTCATTCGTGATTCAACACACAGTTTCACATTTCCCCACATGTCTACAATGTAGACCTTAAGATAATTTGGTCTCCGGATCTCTAGAGAATCTGCCTCCTTCTAGGTTCTTCATTCTATTTATGTATGCTCAAAGTTCTACACTAATCTTGTACTTTCTTCTACACTAGCATATTTCTCTCTCCCACACACAAACAAGTGCCCAAACTGTTCTTTATTCATGGGTGTTTACTTTTTTTTTTTTTTTTAATCCTTTTACTCTTCCTTATATGGAAGATAGATGCATGTCAAAGCTCAATACTAAACATGATTCTAGCAACTCAGATCTTGCTTTTGGGATCTTGCTTCCTCATGAAGTTGCTGTAAAATTTTCTGCAGCAAGGCTTTTGCAGTTAGCCCCAGTGTCACTCCCCACCCAGGTACATGGAAGCTTGCTTCCTGTGCTCTGCCTATTCCGGTTAAAACCTGATGTTCCTGTTGGAGAGGGCTAAGCAGCAGCACCGGCTTATGTGCGTCTCTGTGCCCCCTCCACACTGTTCTCAGCTCTCAGAACCTTTCCTGCCCCCTTTGAGCAGCTTAGCTGTGTGTCTTGAAATCTTTTATGTCTCTCATCTAACATTTTTTAAGGAGTTTTTACATCAGAGCCATTTTTGGGATACCCAATCAATCCCATGCCAGAAAACAAAGTCTTACACCTATACTCGCTTTTAAATCCTTTGATCTCGCAGGATGTTGTCTTGCATGCAATGATGTTAAAAATGTGTTTAATTAAATGGGTGAGGCTGCCGGCTTCTGCGGCTGCTGTTTTGTTTCTGAGGAATCTAGGTCCTCATTTGCCATAGCCTTAACGTTCTCTTCCATTCGGAACCTTGCAGAATTGTTAAATATCTCAAACTCACAGAAAATAGTAAAATTAAAAAATTTAGTTCTCACCAAGATCGAACTGTTATTAGGAGGGTGCCCCCTTTTTGTTCTGTGGTTATATTACTTACTTTATTATTTTGCATATCTTAAGTTTTAAAAAGTGAGCTTCCACCTTGCTTCCGACAAAACATCATGTTTGACAATTTTATCTGTATTTATGCACTCACCTCTAATCCAGCCTTTTCTAGAATTATATTAGACATTTTAGTTCCCTTATTAGCATTGTGTCAGTTTCCCAACACCTAGATAACACACCCGAGCATAACAATTTAATGGGGATACGTATTTGTCTCACGGTTTCGGAGGTGTTAGCTTGTGGGTCCGTGCTGTGGGAGAGCATCGTGTCGGGAGCATGTGGTGGACAGGGAGGCAGAGCAAGCGAGCAAGCGAGGGACAGGGAACAAGCACAGCCCTGCAGAGCAGCCCCGCCTCCCTGAGCGTCCAGGCTTCTGAGCAGTCCATTCAGCTGTGGTTCCATCGATGGGCCTATCCAGTTATTAGGGTTGTGCCATCTGGCCCAGTGACCTGACGATCAAGCCTCCAGCACCCGAGTCTGCAGTGAGCATGTAGTTCTGAACCATAATACACATCAGTTCTACAGCAAGCTTCCATACATGTCCTCTTGAGCATATGTGTTGCCTAGCATTGAAAGTGTTACAGAAATTTTGTATTTGGCCTTAGCTTATTAGGAATATCCAGTTTATTATATCCAATCTATATGATTATGATGACATTGATCATTATAGCTGGCAAAATATGTGAAGCACGTTGCATTAGGTAATATTTATAATTTGTGAAAAGTGCCTATAACAGATACGGGCGAGAACTCTGGTGCCTATGTGCTACTCGTGATCTCCTGCGTATAACTCAGATGAGGATGAAGTCTAAATGATTAAGTGGTTAAAAGTTAGTGACTTGGAAACTCACCCCCGATTTTGTTCCCTGTAGGTATTTATGAGCCTCCATTTCTTGTACTACTGCAGTGAACCAACCTTGGATGTGAAAATTGCCTTTTGTCAGGTGTGTGTTCCTTACAGGTAAAACAAGGTACAGTACACTCCCTTGTATTTCACTTTTACCATTCCGTTTTCATATGTGCCACACCACGGTTATTCTTTATGTAGCAATAAAAGCCGTTTGGAAAGTATGGCGCAGTGATAAGAGTAGGTTTTATTTTATCCCTTTCTAGTCCATTCAGGTAAGCTTAGAAATGGAGAAAAATTTCTGAATGCTTTTATAATTAATTAACCTATAAAGTGATTTACAGTCAGATTTCAATTTTACTTCAAGTTTTTAGTGCTCCCGCCCACATCCTTGGGATGCAGCATTGATAAAGCACCAGGAATCTGCATTGCGCTCCCCTTTTCTAAGGGATGAGGGGTCCCAAGTGCAGCTGCCAGGTTCCCATTGCAGCCCTCATGTTTACTGGTAAGCACTTGCTGGAGATCTGGTGAGGGATTGTGAGCTACCACATTCCCAGGTCGAGCAGAGAGCTGCGAGTCTGTCTCTGTGCGCTGCTGACTGCTTTTCCTCACTGAGCTGAGCTGTGAACTGAGCCAGGAGCCCACTGAAAGCAGGTGGGCGAGGCAACTGCCCTCATCTGTAATTTTACACAACCCTCTCCGATGCGAAGGGAGCACTGGTTTGCCTGACTTAGTCTATATGGTTCTCGCTCTCCCTGAACATGAGTAGGATTCCTCAGGCAAAGAGGTGCTTGCTCCGCATTCTCAGACTTGCTGTTGGCCTCTCCTCATTTACCTCCCACTTTATAGGGCTTGGGGCTCAAGCCTTTAGATGGGGTTTCTTCTCTAACAAGAGCTGTGGATGCAGAGACTGTAGTTGGAAATGCTGAGGTACCATTTAGAAGTCACTTGCTTGCCAGTGTGAGCGAATTCCCCAACGTTTCTGTGCCTCAGTTTCCTGATTTGTAAAAGTTGAAAGCAATAGCATCTGCCTCTGAACTGAAGGAATTTTCACTTGCAGACCATTGAAAACAGTGCTGGCAAGTGCTAACTTAGTAGGAGAGTCTCTGAGTTTCTATTCACTCTCCAGGCATGCCTGTCCCACAGAGCTCTTACTCTCCATGCGCTCCTGTATGCAAGCGTTCTGAACATGACCATGATCTTGAGAACTCACACAGTTGTGTCTCTAAGCCACACTCATGCACAAAACTGCCTGGTTCCACATCTCCAATTACATGTCATGAAAGCATGCCCAACTATACCAATCCCAGGCCAACCTCCCATGGGTGCCATAGTGTAAACCTGTAACCCCCAGCAGTAGGAAGGAGGAGGCAGGTGGCCCGAGAGTTCACCGTTGGCCTGAACCACATAAGGAACTTTTCTCGGAGACAACAAAACAGCAGATCTTGTCTACATTATTCCTTTCGCCATTGCCTTTGTTCTAATGCAGGAAATGCTGACGCCATCTTTCCAGTTGGAACCAAGCTATGGGGTCATATTATGAGCCACCCCTCACATCCAATGTATCATCACACTCTATTGAGTTTAACTCAACCATTTCTCAACTACCACTTTGACTCAAGACAGCCTCTCTCTTGTCTGAATTACTGTAAAAGCTCCTTGCCTCTGTCCAGCTCTACATAATCTAGCCTCAAAACACCAGTGAGAGTGGCCTTTGAGTTCTGAATGACCATGTTACTATAAACAAGACAAAGCTTATCACAATCTTTCGATGTCTTCGAATCTCATAATATAGGACCCCAAACCCTCATTCTAAAGACTTTATTATCTAGCACCCTAAAAACCCGCTCCCCTGAGATTCTCCACTACCCATCCAATTTCCCTGCCTTTCTTTCCCCCTTGACCACACCTACCTTATTTGACTTACTATGTATGTGGCTGTTGTGATAAGTTATTTCTCCCTTCCCGCCAGAAACATTTTTCAGGGTCTTCCTGGAACCAGGCCACACAAGCTCACAGAGACAACTGCACTTCTCTTCTAACTCCTGTACTCAGTGATGTCACTGTGGTAGCCCAAGATGTCCTGCCAGGAGGTTTTACACAAGAATGAGCTAATATGATGATATCTCCTCCATACCTTTTTCTCCCTGTAGAGGAATTTTAATCCAGCAACATGGCTGCTCTGTCAAGGGATCACATCCAAAGATCTTCTAGGTCTATGTGATCCAGCTGGAATGCAGACACACTCTGTATTACAGTAGGATCTGGCCAGAATACAGGCATGCCCTTAGTACATACCTTCAAACACAAACAAGGAAAGCAGGCTTATTTTACAGAAGGAGGCAGGCATGTTTGAAGGTGAGGTCTAGTTGAGGGGCAGACAAAGTGATGAATCAGAAGAAGATTTGACGGAATGAGTAAGAGGTAGGATACGCCCAACTCTCACAAGAACAGGACAGGAAAGAGAGGCTACTTAATAGTAGTACAGGGAGAGAATGGGGGTAGGGTAGTAGTGTGTGAGGCAATTTTACTGGGAGTTTTGTAAAGACAGCTGCAGAGAGAATGAGCCAGAGAATGAAAAGGAACCAGAAGATTAGAACATATTGCCAGAGTGATGTTGAGGCCGAGCAGAGCAATTTAGTCAGAAGCTGAGAGAGAAGCCAGATTGAATCAGTCAGTTTGGAGAGGAGTTTGGGCCAGAATAGTCAGCTCAGAGTTCAGAAGGAGCTAGAAAGTATGAGTTTATTTAGCAGTACGTCTCAGAGGCTGAAACACTCTAGGCCTACAAAAGCAGACGGAAGCTGAAGCCTTCAAGGTTCAGGTTTGCAGAATGTTAGATTGTACAGAGGCTAGAAGCTTCCAGGCCTAGGCCTAGGGATAGAACAGAGAAGGAAATGATCTCGGTTCAGCCCAAGCTGTGTATTCATACATGTTGGGTATGGCTCTCATCTCATCCCTTCATCAGAGGAAATATCATTTAAATCTCTCCACTGGTCTCAACACTTCTGAGCATACTGTAGAGGAACTTCAGTTCAGAACATGGCTGCTCTGGCAAGAGATCATATCCAAAGACCTTCTGTGTCTGTGTGATCTGGCTGGAAAAATAGAAATAAAAACAACAACACACCTTTAATCCAGGAGACAGAGGCAAGCAGATCTGAGTTCAAGGCCGGTCTGGTGTAGAGCAAGTTTCAGGTAAAGAAAAGCTTAGGTCCAGGTGTAGTGGTACAAACCTTTAATGCCAAACAATGAAGGTAAAGTTAGTTTGTAGAAGGAAGCAGCCATGTTTAAAAGTGATGTCTAACTGAGTGGCAGAAACAGTGACGAATCAGAGAAGATTTTGATAGAATAGGATACAGCCAACTCGGCCAGGTTCAGCTGAGAGGATGTTCCACTTTGTGAATAAAAGAAACCCAAGTGGAGCTGGAGAGATGGCTCAATGGTGAAGAACACTGACTGCTCTTCCAGAGGTTCTGAGTTCAATTCCCAGCACCCAGGTGGTGACTCACAACCATCTATAATGGGGTCTGATACCCTCTTCTTGTGTGCAGGTGTACATGTAGATAGAGTTCTCATACACATAAATAAATAAAGCTTAAAAAGAAAAGAAACATGAAAATTCTGCTTTTGGAGCTCTGCTGTTCAGTGAATGAAAAAGGACTTGAACAGTGATGATGAGCTGAAACCCCCCTCCCACCTGCTGACATCTGCGATACTTCTCACTTTTGGGGGTGTTGCTATCTGGGATACAGGGGTATCCTGGGCCCACACAGGGGTCCGTACAAGGCTGGGGAACTTCAGCTTTGGTTCTCAATCTCAATTTATGTTGGTCCAGCAAAGTAAAAGGAAAGACAGCAGAGAAATGCTGTGTCCCAAGTAGGAATTTACTTTCTTGCCTTTGAAATCTAACTTCTCAGCATCTCACCTCTTAGAAGATGCACTCCCAGACTCAGTCATGTTTTCACTGTTTTACTAACCACAGCCATCATCAATCTAATCTAACAGCTTTATCTAATCATTATTGACTCTCTAAATGTGTACTGATATCTAAATCTCTCCTGAATAATTTTAAATGATTTCCTGACCTGGAGAGTCTGAGCCTCTGGAGTTAATAGTCAGTTAACTGGGCCTGCAGGGATGGTCAGCCAAAACAGCAGTCAGTCACAAGTGTGGGGACCTGAGTTCAATACTCAGAACCCACATGAACCAGGCACAGTGGCCTGTGCTTAGAGGTTGAGCCTTGGTAAGAAGAGAGGAGGAGACAGCTGGGTCCTGACAACCACTGAGCACCGGCCAGGCCAACCCAGGGAGCCCAGGTGAGTGACCCAGTGTGAAAACCCTGAAGACCAATACCCCGAGGTGCCCTCTGACCTCCACATGGATGCACACACCAGGCACAGTGCACCCCATCTACAGGCCCAATGCACACAAGTTAGTTATCAAGAAGTCACCAGTTTAAGCAGCCCAGGAGACGAAGGGGCTGAGCTGAGCTTTCCTACCTTCTGACTATTCCACTGAAAGGCTTATGCTTTGTGTCAATGAGATATTCATTAACTTGCTGATTGCTGATTGAGATTGATTCCATCCTGTATTCAACACACCTTACAGATATTTTAATTAGCTTAATTTACTCATTCTGCTTTATATGCATACGGTATCATTTTATAGTCCATAAATACAAACAATTGTAATCGGTCAGTGTCTAATATAAGGTAAAAATGAAAAAAATGACAAAGATTCCTTTCTTCATTTTGTCTGCACAACCCCAAGTTTTTTGAACTTGGAGCTGAATTATGATTTTTATTTTGAGTGTGAGGGCTTAACGATTCTGCAAACCCTAATGTACACAGTTTTTATAATCTGTTTTTAAAGGCTTACTTTTATTAGAAAGAGAGAGAAAGAGAGACTATGAATGAGAGACTATATGCTGCCATTTGTGAGTGCTGGGGTATGATGGCTGTGAATCATCTTGGGTGCCAAGAACTAAACTCCAGCCCTCTGCCAGGGCAGGGAGTGTTCATAACCTCTGAGCTGTCTCTCCCCAGCCATTCTCAGGTTTTATTTTTAGTCAACACATAACATTTAAAAAAGTGTAAG